GAGAAATTGTTCCTCTCATAGCAGTAAGTAAGGGAAGAGAGAGAGAGAGAGAGAGAGAGAGAGAGAGAGAGAGAGAGAGAGAGAATATGAATATGAATGAACCACTTGTTTGTTGAGGAAATTGTTATATGTCAAAGTGCAAAAGGAATTGGCTTAAGTATTGGCCTATAATGATGATGATGATCCTGGTGCTGGGGACGGAACCCCAGACCTGGCGCAGGCTCGCCCTCTGGGACGGAGCTTCACCCCATCCAGCCTTGGTGGTTCCCAGCCTTCAGGATGCCYGGGCGCAGTCTGGTTCAGCTGCTTATCCTTTGGCGCCCTCTTCTGGGGACTCACGCATCAGCCTGTGTGGGCCTCCCAGGGAGCTGTGTTTRGGGTTGGGGGTAGGTGGAGGGGGCGCTGAGAGAAGGCTTGGGCTCGGGTGAGATGGGGGAGGGGAGCTCACCTGTCAAAGGCCCCGGTGTTATCTGGGTGGAGGCCAAGCCCCTGGGCCTTGTCCCATTCAGAGAAGAGCCACTTCCACATTGCAGTGGGTAATTTCCTCAGGGACAAAGCTGGTCCACCCATCCACCACTCCTCACCCACCACCCACAACTCATTAAACCCCTCTCTTCATACATAGAAATGAGATTATGGCATTTGCTGATAAATGGATGGAACCGGAGTCTATCATGCTAGTGAAATGGGCCAATCTCAATAAACCAAAGGCGGAATGTTCTCTGTAACATTCGCGACCAGTGCACCTCCACATCATGCTCACCCACCAGAACGGGAAGTCACACTCGTCATGTATAATATGTCACAATACAGTCCACTGTCATATGTACCCAAAGAGAACAAATGAAGGAAAAGCCCCCTTAGCCTGTCTCCAGGCACAGGTCAGAGCTGAGCTCTCTCTCGGTGTCTAGGGCCCTTCGCCTCTGGTTCACGTGCTGCTCCAGCCTCGTGTATTCTTACTGCTTGTGGGTGCYCTGCTCTGTCCCCTGAGCAGGCCTGGCTCTTTCAAACCTCCAAGCCTTAGCCTTCGCTGTTTCCTCTGCAGGAAGCCCCTGGGCCTCCACTTCTCATTGCAACCCACCACTTCTTCTCCGGTCCCAACTCAAATACCACCTCCCTAAGGAAGTCTCTCAACTCCACAGGCAGAAGGCGCGCCTTGCCAGGCGGCTGGAACTCCCTGTTCATGTCGTTGAGTGCATCGTGACAGTGCATGATTGTCCCTTCACTCATCAACACCCTGTGGGCTGACCCGTGTCTTATTTATAATGCGTAGCAGAGGGCCTGGCACACTGTAGGTACTCTGAAATATTTGTTGAGTGAATGAATGAATGAGTGTGCCCTGACTGTGGAGTTTGGAGGTCACTAATTGCAGGAGGACATCCGACAACGGTGTGTCTAAGTGTGTGCCYGACCCCACCTAAGCCCTGGCACCGGGAGAGTGAGCTCGGAGGCAGGAGACAGATGATGAGACCTTGGTGATTCTTAGGTACCACGGATCCTGCTTCAGGGGCAGGTGGATCCCTGAAACTGGATGAGTTCATCTTAGCAATAAGGGTCGTGACGTCACGTCAGGAATGCTGCTGAGGCTCCATCCTGCTGCTGGGGACTGGGGAGACGCACACACTGGCATAATAGGAGGCACCAGGGATGTGGGGCCTGGAGGGGGGTCCCCTGCTCACACAACWGCCTCCTGCCTGAGCTCGGGAATCTCCAGGATCAACACAGGCTGCTCTGGGGATCCAACGGCAACAGGTCAGCATCTCTTCCAAGAGAACCCCAGGGGCAGGGTGGGCTGGGCTGGTGTGAGTGGTTCTGAGAGCACAGGAGGGCGGCCCACCTGTTTTGGAGAATATGCACAGTGTAAATGGGTGTCCTAACAGCATAACTGTGGGGCCCTAAGCCAAAAGCAGGTGTTTGGGCTTGTTCCCAAGGACATGGGTTTGAATCCGACTCCAGGTGGATCCGTTGTGTGATCTTGAGAAACTTCTTGACCTCTTTGGGTTTCATCTCCCTACCCCCCAGGAAAATCGGGGTAATAGTACCTACCTTCTAAGATCGCTGTGAGGATTAAATGGGGTAATGTGTAGACGTGCTTTGTCGCCTGGCCGGCCCCATAAGGGTAGAAGCAGCGCCYGAGACCAGGTATAGGAATGTGGTCACGATTCCCACCTGCACAGGATTCAGGGAGGACAGCTGGATCCCCCAACTGGATCTCATCTCCATCTCTGTAGGAAGTGGGGTGCAGCAGGTGACAGGCCTCCAAGGTGGGCACTGCACAGAGGTGGTGGGGGCCATGGGATTGGAGAGCTGCTGGCATGGCAGGTGCTGGAGAGGTCCACACCGCCAGGGGATGGCAGGCAAAGGTGTAGGTTCCCGTGCTGTCTGTACACTTAAGTGAGAAAGAAAACAGCAGGAACAGGCTGKGTCCCCGAGCATCTGGGTATTTGAATTTTCTGCTTGTGGAACAAAACTGTTCTTGGCAGGGACGCGGATACTGCCTTTTCAAGGATTTTAAATTTCCATTGTAAACAACGTAAACGCTGTTTTGTTTCAGAGAGTCTTCAGTTCCCCCTCCTCCTTTGACAGCAGGTAACTCTTAAACTCAGGTGGTCTGGAGGGGAGGAGGACACAGTTCCTGCACCCAGGACGCCTGTCCTCTCAGTCCAAGTGAGGGGACACAGTTGTATCCTGGGATTCTGCTGGAAAGCTTCTTGCAGGGTAGTGACTTTGAGTCGGTTTGCAAGGGGCCAGGGGGAACTGCAGGGAGGACACCTGAGGCCAGGTGCTGGAACGTGGGCCCAGCTGCTGTCCCCTGCAGCCCCAGATCTGCCCCCGGTCCCAGGTGGGAGCCCAGCAGTCATGCCGGACACACCAGTGGAGGAATCCCTTTTCCAAATCATCCACTGCTACCACCAGTATGCAGCCCGCGAAGGGGACGTGGAGACCCTGACCCTGGAGGAGCTGAGGGCCCTGCTCACGGACAACGTGCCCCGCTTCATGGAGACCTTGGTGTGTGGGGTCTGGGACAAGGCGGGGATGAGGAGGGGATGGATATGGGGTTGGCCATGGGGTTGGAGGGGAGGGCTGGAAGTGAGGGGTGAGGGCCTGGGGAAGGAGCTGACTTCCAGGAGAATCTCCAACTTAGGGGGGGAAGTGAAGGAGAGCGGGGTCTGCCCAGATTCACTTCCCGCCCTTCCCTCCCCTGCCTGCCTGCCTCCCTCCAGTCCAAGGCCCTCAGACCTCACCCCCAGACTGTCCGTGCATCTTGTCTGCGAGCACAGGCCCTAAATTCTCCCCTCGTTGGCAGGCCCATCTGTCAGCGACTGCCCCCAGCCCTGGACCCCTTCTCCAGCCCTTTGAGCTCAGCTCCTTCCCCTGCCACTCTGCCCCCTGGGCCTGGGGGAGCAGGGTTCAGGCTGTGGGGGCCACCCGAGGACAGGCGGGGGTAGGAGAATTAACTCTCCCTCCCACCTCCTGCCCCCCCCCCAGGGTCGCAGACCTGGACGAGCCCCGCCCACCCCAGGGGATCCTTGGGGACTGTAAGGCCCACAAGGACTTTTGTGGGTGCTACCCTCCGCCCTCTGTCCTGTCCCCTAGGGTTTCTGAACAGTCACCTCCAGAGATAGGAGATTCAACCACTGGCTCAAGGTCACTGTCATGTCCCATCCCTGCTCCTAACTGGGAAAGAGCAGAGGAGACAGTCTTGCCCTCTGTCACCTGGAGCGTACCCCTGAGCATGGGTAGGGGAGCTGGGGTGACTAGTCTTGTTTCTAGGACACTTTTCCTTTCCAGGGAAAACTCTTGGGGCTGTGCCAGGAACCCCCAGGCCCTCCATGCACGGGGCTCACAGTCCCACTTAGGCACAGGGCCCTAGAGGACAGACACCTGGGCAYGGGGAGCAGGCTTGATGTGGCACAGGGGAGGGAAGCCGGGGAGAGCCCRCTCAGGGCGGGAGCCTCCAGCCGTTCTCTGGCGCCCAGCCTAGAGGTGTGATAGGGCTACAGGAGCGGAAGACGGTGGTGGGAGAGAGGCCTGCAGGGATGAAGCCTGCCTACAGGTGGATCTGCCTGCAGGGATGAAGGCTGCCCACAGCCCCAGGGCTGCCCACGTGCCACAGCCCCCTCCCCTGAGTGCTTCCCAAACGCCCCCCACGGTGTGGGGGCGCCACGCCCAGCAGCCCCTGCCACGACCCACTGCCTCGCCGTGCCCACCTGGCCTGGCCACTGCGTCTCCTCACCGTGTCCCCTCCTCTATCAGAGCTCAGTGCTAAGGTCAGGGATGCAGCATGCGTGTCCTAGGCAGCGTTCCCTGCAAGGCCCTTGTGGGCAGGGCACTCTGCTGTTACCTGCAGGTGGCCGAGGCCTGCAGGTGGCACTCTGCTGTTACCCTGCAGGTGGCCGAGGCCTGGTGGGCGGCTGCGTGCTTGGAGGGTGGTTGACCCTCTTGCCCCTCCTCAGGGTCGGCGGGAGCCCTACTACGTCGCGGAGTTGTTCCGGGCGGCAGACAAGAACAAGGACAACCAGGTCTGCTTTGAAGAGTTCCTCTACATCCTGGGCAAGCTGGCGAAGGATTACCACCTGCAGTACCACCGGCAGCTGTGTGCCCACCACTGTGCCCAGCATAACCTGTACTAGGGCCGCTGGAGCCTGCCTCCAGGAGGGGTGTGAGCTGGCCACGGGCCGGCGGAGAACTCTGCTGTGTGTGCAGCTCACACTCGTTTGGGGTACGAGTCTCTTCATGGTCCTGGGCACCATACRCGGATGGGAGATTCAGCTTCTGCCTTCAAGAGGCCCCTGACCGATGGAGGAGGCACAGCCCCGGAGCCCACGTGTTCTTGTTTAAGTGGGGACGCAGCCCCCGCCCCCGGCTCTCAGACTGTGAGAAGGAGGCTCTTCCTTGGGGCAGTTGACCCTCTAATGAGGAAGCYGTGCTGCCCCAGTCATGTTCCTCATGACTCTCTCCCTGGACAGAGGGGCAGAAGGGGAGCCACTGGGCAGGAGTACACTGGACATGGTTTTTGAAGGAGTCCCTGCTCAGAATGAGAGCTTCGATGACCCTGTATATAAAGGGACAGGCCTGGGCTTGGGGAGGGACCAGGGAGGGGAGAGGAGCACATTTTAGGAGAGGGAACGGCAGTGGAGACACCTGTGGTGGCCCAGGACAACAGAAAGTGGGCCTGGAAATGAATCTCCAGGGGAATAAACCCAGCTCTGTTTGAATAGGTGGGTCTGGGGAGCCTGCCTCCCTCCCTCCCTCTCTCTCTCTCTCTCTCTCTCTCTCTCTCTCTCTCTCACTGGGGAACTGAACGCAGGGCCTGGCTGTGTGTGCTAGGTGAGAGTTCTACACTGAGCTGCACCCCAGGTCCAGCACAAGACCCCCGCAGTCCTGGAAGGCCCAGCTCTGGGGTTGGACTGTACCTGGGTAACGGACTCCCGAGGGGCTGTCTAAGGTGGAGGTGGTCAACACTCCCCCAGAGGCTACCTGGGGGCCCCGGGGGTAGGTCAGACAGGGGAGAGAGAGGCTGGGGAGCCATYGGGAGGCTCCTGCACGGCCTGGCCACAGGGCCATGAGGACGAGGTCAGTGGCTGTATGCAGGGAAACCAGGGGGGGGCGTAGACCCAGGGGAGGTGGGGACATCGAAGCCCCAGACCTGGTGACAAACTGAGGGAGGGGGGTCCAGAAGGAGGTTGATGTTTCAGGCGTGGGTGGCAGAGGGGAACACGTGCTGGCATTCGGTGTCGGGGTGGAGGATCGTGCCTGAGGCTTTGTTCCTGTGACTCAGAGGTGGAGACGGGTTGAAGAGGACAGTCAAGTCCGGCAGAGGGCAGACTCCTGTCACAGGAAGGGACTGTCAAGCAGAGAGGACTTCCTGGAGGAGGAAAGGTCAGGTCTGGTGTTTACCAATAAAACCTGATGACGGCTGTGGTGTCCTGTCTCTGAGTTACTCGGGACTCCATGGTCCCTGACCTCTGGTGGTCCCTGACCCCTCCCAACTGAGACCTGCCCCTGCCCCATCTGGGCTGTTTCTGTCTCGCTCTCCCCTGGAGCCCGGGAATTGGAGGCAGAATTCCTCGGGGAGGGTCTCATCTGCCTTCAGGCCCCGTCGGAGCCCGTCTTGGTGGGCTTCCTTTTCTGAGGATGGGTCTGGGAACTCGTGGCCTGAGCTTGTGATCAAAAGGATGGATTTAGAAAGAACGAGGGGCCACCATCGCATGSCCACCTCTGGGAAGCCTTCTGCACCCCGTTTCCCTCTGGGTCTCTCCCTATCCAGGGGCACTTTTTTAGGTTCTGAGAATTGAGCCCAGGGACACTGTACCACGGAGGAGCCTCACCCCCAGCCCTTTTTATTTTGAGACTGGGTCTTGCCAAGTTGCCCAGGCTGGCTTTGAACCTGTGATCCTCTTGCTCAGGGGCATGCTCTGTTCACTGTTATTCTGTTCCACTCTCTGTATCCCCAGACCTGACCATGAACTTGACYCCGAGTCAGCGCAGGGCTGGCTCAGCAGGTGTCAACAGGGAGGGGTCTGCTGGCTGGGGACCCCGACTCCCCCTCCTGCAGGCAGACCCCTTGGTCAAGTCCTGGTGCGTTCATGGAGACAGAGTATTCAGACCCTCAACGTCCAGGGCAGAGGCCTTGCTGCCCGTCTCACCTGGGCTCTGTGGAGGCTCTCCGGGGCTCTGAGGACTCAACAAGGGCACCGGATTGAGTCCTTTGGGCCTCCCTTCACCCCCTTTCTGGGGATTTCTCCACCACTTCTGCCTGCTCTGTCCTCACTTCCTCAGCCTGGGGATGGGCTGAGTCAGTCTGTTGGGACACATACTGGGGACTGGCTCTTTCCTGTAAACAAGGCCAGGTTCCACTCCGCTGGGTTGCCCCATGTCCCTCAGGCTAATTGCAGGTTCTGCCTTTCCCCCAACACGTTTGCCCAATTCTTGGCACCCATCTCCTGCCAGCTCAGCTCAGCCYCCTCCTCTCCCTGCAGCCCCCACGTCTACCTATCAGAGGACTCTGTGGGTGACCGTTCATGGTGTCCCGGGCCAGCCTGCACAGGATGCCACGAGGGAGCCCCCACTCATGACTGCCTTTAGTCTCCTGAGCTACCTGGAGGAGGACCTCAAGCCACACCCCATGCCTCAGTTTCTCCATCTGTCACACAGGGATAATGATACCAGTGACACCCACTTTATAAGGTTGCCGGGGATATCAAGCGAGTCAGTGGATGTAAACACATTTTGAAAATATGTGACACTCTGGGATAAGGCAGTGTATGGCAGGTCATATAGGATAGTCCCTGACGAATACTATATACAATTGATGGGCTGATCACTGGTTGAAAACTTGTTCTGGTATATGGCAGAAGGGGCACTGTAGTCTGACCTAGAGGTTGATTCACCTCTTGTCAAGAGAGTTAGAGTGCATTTGGCTGATGGATTCATACGCTCTGCCTTCTTCCCCAAATGGCTAAGTGTAACGAAGGGAATTTTTGCATTGGGGAAAGAAAACACTAAAATTCATCTTTGTATTCATTTATTACCTAGAGGTGTGGAAATAAGTGGTAGGTTCTCTTCTAGAGGGTTTCCCAGTGCCAAAGACCACAAACAGGTGAATCCTAGAAACTCAGGGCCAATGTTGTGATGGAGAGGGGCTCGGGTGGCACAGAGGAGAGAAGAACTAACCCACGTATATGGGGGGTGTGTGTGCGGGGATCAGGTGGCCTCAGAACTGGGCTGGGAAGGATGAGAAGGATGTCACAAGGATGAAGAAGCCTTCCAGACAGTGTCACAGCATATCCTGAATCTCATTGTTCTGTCTCTCTGTGGACCTCGGTTTCCTTGTCTGTACAATAGAAATTGCAAAGTATGAAACTCATAGGATTATTGTGAGAGTTAGAYGAAGTGATGCAAGTGAAGCACTTATAATGATTCCCTACATAGGATACAGACTCAGCAAATGTCAGCTGTGATTTTGCAATTATTTGTTTGGGTGTGCTAGGCATTGTGCTGGGTCCTGGGGTCAAGGGCAAAGATGCACAGTCTGGCTCTGGAGGGCTCACAGCATGGCTAGAGAATCAGGCACAGGTCTGGGGTAGAAAGCATGGCTCACTGCTTTCAGCACCAAACATAGTGTGTGTGTGTGTGTGTGTGTGTGTGTGTGTGTGTGTGTGTGTGTAAACCTTTTATTAAAATATAATGCATAGTAATAAGTCCCAAATTTTCAACTCTGTAAATATTTCAGGGAAATTGACACAAGTGCATTAAAATAGGTTGTATACCATGAACTAGAACTGACATATCCTTTATGATCATTAAGAACAAAAGTCTGGCTGGGCACAGTGGCACATGCCTGTAATCCCAGTGGCTCGGGAGGCTGAGGCAGAATTTCAGGTTCAAAGCCAGCCTTAGCAACTTAGCGAGATCTTAAGCAACTCAGTGAGACCCCGTTTCTAAATAAAATATAAAAAAGGGCTGGTGATGTGGCTCAGTGGCAAAGCCTCCTTGGGTTCAATCCCTGGTGCAACCTCCCTCCAAAAACAAAAACAGAAAAAAACCTGGCCGAGTATGGTGGCACATGTTTATAATCCCAGTGACACTGGAGGCCAAGGCAAGAGGATCACAAGTTTGAGGGCAGCCTGGGCAACTTAGTGAGACCTGTCTCAAAATAAAAAGGGCTGGGGATGTGCCTCAGTGGTAGAGCATCCAGTACCAAATAAAGGGAAGAGGAGGAGGAGGAGGAAATGAAAATATAGATTGGCTTATAAATCTATAAAAGGGACATTGGGACAACATAGTAATATACATATATATGTGGCCTTATAAATAGAAGATTGGGCAAATATGACATCTGGGATGATGGGACAAAATGTGCCAAGAAAAGTGTATAAGTCATAAGTTTTTKGGCTCTATTATTAATCCTCACAAGGTAGAATTCTTTTTGTAGGTGGAAGCATTTTAAAACAACTTAAAAAATAGTTGTGACACAATATACATAACATTACATTTATCATCTCCACCGTTTTTAAGTGTACCTTTCAGTGGTATTAAAAGTACACTCACATTGTTGAACAACCAATCTCCAAACTCTTTTCATCTTGCAATACTGAAACTCTGGACCCATCAAGCAGCTTGCAAAACTGAAACTCTGGACCCATCTATTTTTCCTCCTCCCAGTCTCCAGCATTGGCCCTTCTACTTTCTGTCTCTGTGGATCCAACTCCTCCAATGACCTCATATAAGTGGAGTCATACGGCATCCGTCTTGTTTTGATAGGCTTATTTCACTTAGCACAATATCCTCAAGGTTCATCCATATGTTAAGATTTCTTTCTTTTTTAAAGTCTGAATAATATTCCACTGTATATGTGTATTTGTTTATCCATTCACCTGTTGATGTCCTCTTGTGTTCTCCCCTCTTGGCTCTTGTGAATTATGTTGCTATGAACGTGGGTGTACAAATATCTTTTCAAGACCTTACTTTTATTTTTTTCTGGTATATACCTGGAAGTGGAATTGCTGGATCATGTGATAATCATGTTTATTTATTTAYTTATTTTTTGAGAAGCCACCATACCATTTTCTTCAGAGCCGCCAAACCATTTTACATCCTCATCCACAGCACACAAGTCTTCCGACCTCCCTAGGTCTTTGCCAACCGCTGTTACTTTTTTTTTTTTTTTCTTTTCCGTTTTCTTCTGGTGGTACTGAGAATTGAGCCCACAGCATTTTACCACTGAAATATACTTCCAAGTTCTTTTTATTTTTTATTTTTGACACAGGATCTCTCTCACTAAGTTGCCCAGGCTGGTTTTGAACTTTCGATCCTCCTGCCACAACCTTCTGAGTAGCTTGGAGTCATGGGGCCACCCTCTCAGATATTTTTTTCATGATAGTATGAGGTATATCTGGTTCTGTTATTTCATTTTATTTTTTTAAGATGGACACAATATCTTTACTTTATTTTTATTTTATTTATTTTTGTGTGGTGCTGAGACTCAGACCCAGTGCCTCACGTGTGTGAGGCGAGCTCTCTACCGCTGAGCTGTCACCCCAGCTCCGTATTCTGTTCTGGTTTTGGTTTGCATTTTCCTRATGATGAGTGATTCTGAGCATATTGTTCATGTGCTTGTTGGCCATGTGTATACCTTTTGTAGAAATATCTATTTAAACCCTTAGCCCATTTTTTTTAATGGGATTGTTTTTTTCTGTTGTTGCTGAGTTGTCTAGAGTTTTATTGTCTTCTGGATATTAACCTTTTATTGGATACATGTTTTACAAATATTTTCTCTCCTTCTGTGGGTGGAAGACCTACTCCATTTTGCATCTCTATTCATGAATCGCTCTAACTGAGGCACAGAGCAGGTAAGTAAGCGGTCCAAGGTCACACTGTGACACAATAAGTGGCCTAATAAAGCCCAGAGGGCTGGGGAGATCCCAAGGAGAGAGACTAATACCGTGTCCCTCCCCTAGGTGGCGCTGACGGCCCGGGCCCTGGGAGCCTGGTCCATATTTGATGATTAAAGGAGGTAAGGAAAGAGGGATTTTCCCTGTCAGTCACGTTCCCATCAGAACAAGTTCTAGAACTGGATCTTCTGGGGTTCCGTGTGGAATTTGTCACACCTGCCCTGGGAAACTCAGGGAAAACCCCTTCACCTTTCTCTGCCTCCGCTTCCTCACCTGTCCATCTTCCTAGTAGGCATGCTCTGAAGTCTTTAAGAATCTTCTTTTTTAAAAAAAATTTTTGGGTTCTTCTTAGTAATGCATGACCGTAGCATCCATTTTGACAGAATTCCTCAAGCAGGGAATACGCCTTATTCTGATTCTGACCCAGCACCCCTCCTCTCCCTTCCCTTTCCCCACACCTGCTGCCCCCTTCCCTCTGTTGATCCATTTACCCATGTTTTTTTTTTTTTTTTTGACTAATTTCTTGTGGATGGACATGATGGTGAGATTCCCTGGGGGTGTTCCTGTGTGTTCCCAGGAAAGTCACGTCAGCTTCATTCCACGGCCTCCTTTTCTCCAAGGTTCTTATGAGACAAAATGGACGTGGCTTGCACTGTGACAGGAGAATCACGCCACAGATCCTCAGCCTTGGAAGCAGGGAATGGGACTGGCCTTGTGTTAGTGGTGGGGAGGGGTCGGTCCCCCCTGAAATCCTGGAGAATTGGCCACCTCCTCCTCTCCCCTTCAGCCTGGGGCGCACCCGGCTCCTCCAAGAGCCGTCCCTCTCTCCAGCCCAGAGCTGCCTTCCTTCCTGTGGCCCAGAAGAATCACCCCAGAGAGGGGGGAAGGCCCTGCTGGGTYCAGGCCCTGGCTCAGCGCCTTGAGGTCCCAGTGCACAGGACCTCAAGCCACCTCAGCCCCCAGAGCAGATGGTCATGAGGGGTGCCAGCAACAGGAGAGGAACTGACCCGGCCGATGACACCACATGTCCCCACAGAGTCCCCCCACCCACCCCAAACACAGCACCCGAGAAATACCCCACCCTTCATTCCTGAAAACCAGCAGCGAGGCCCTAGGTTTTGCTTTTCTGGGGTCTTTGGGTCCTTTTGAGAGTCTGATGGAGCCACAGAGGCATGTCCCCCTGCACACACCCTCCAAGGCCCTTCCAGAGATGCGCAGACTGGCTGACAGGCGCAGCATCAGCAGCAGCAGCAGTGGCGAGGGCTCAGGAGTGAGGCTGTGGCTGCAGCCAGGCAGGGGGCTCCAGGGACCCAGGGAAGGACCTCGCCCTGGGCCTGCTGCCCTGCAAAGCCTTCCCTCCCGCTTCCCCCACCTCCCCACCCCTCTGAAATTCTGGCTGTGCCCAGTGCTTGCCACACCCACCGGGTTGGGAAACGGGAGGCTGGAGCAACTCTGCAGGGAGCTGCCTCTCTGAATGGCCCAGCCGCAGGCAGCTGGCCCAGCCTCCCCGCTATAAAGGGGAGTGGATACTCAGCGCTGGAGATCCTCTGTCCAGCCAGCTTCAGGGACATCTGGTGAGTGGTGCTGCCTGGGTTGGCCCTGCCCCGGAGGCCTCCCTTTCTGTGAGAGAGGAGGGGAAGCTCAGGGAGATCTCAGCCAAGACCTGGTGCTCTTGGAGAAGAGCGCCAAGGATAAGTGGAGTCTTCCACTCTGCCAGCGGGCGAGGGAGGGCATGTTCATTTCCTAAGCAGGGACTTTTTTGACAGAGGGTGGTGCCATATGGAGGAAGGGATGGGGAGAGAGAGAGAGAGAGAGAGAGAGAGAGAGAGAGAGAGAGAGAGAGAGACCCTCCCATACCCACATCCCACCCTTTACCATCAAAGCCATGGTCACCTCCTGGTTTAATAATTTGGATGGTAGAGGCCAGGTCAAGCCATTTCCTGGGGATGGAGCCCTTTGAGTGTCCCTTCCCTCTTCCATGGGCAAGTGCACCACCTCCAGCTCAGGATTCCCCACGTGGCTCCTTCCTTCAGGTGAGCAGATCCTTGGACATCATGCCGACTGATCTGGAGAAGGCCCTGGACTCCTTAATCTGTGTCTTCCACAATTACTCCCTGCCGAAGGGGAATTACCATGCCCTCTACAGGGACGACCTGAGAAAAATGCTGACTAAAGARTGTCCTCATTACACGAAGGTGAGGAGAGGCTGCGTGTGGCTGGAGGTCTCTGCCTGGCTCTGAGGAAGCCCCCGGGGCTCACTGGTCTTCCTCGCTGCCCTCTGTAGACAGCCATGCTTTAGCTCTCTCTGAGAAATTTATCCTCTGGCTTCTCCCCCTTTGACCCTCCCAGAATAAGGATGCAGATACCTGGTTCAAGGAGTTGGACGTCAATGAAGACAATGCTGTTAACTTTGAGGAGTATCTCGTGTTGGTGATCAAGGTGGGCGTGGCAGCCCACAAAGAGTCACACAAGGAGTAGCAGAGCTGTCCCGCCCTGGGGCTGAGCCCCTGTGTATGTACCTGCAGGATAATAAAGTCACCGTACCTCAGTCCTCTCTTGGTCTCTCTCTTTTCTCTGGTGGGATGAACTTCCTGGGGGTGAAGGAAGAAGACACCCTGGTTGTTGCTACCCTCACCCCTCAAAGCCTCCAGTGCTCCCCTCCCCTCGGCTTCCTCCCCTCTCTCTCCCCAAGTTCCTCCAAGTCTCTTCTAGCTCCATGGTCCCAAGTCATTGGTTCTGGGACTTCAGGATTTAAAAAGTCCATAACACTAGAGATGATCATTTTATTAGTTCCCCTCAAATGAGTGAGTTGGGAACAGGGTGGAGTTGGGAAAACTCATACTGTTCTCCCAGTTACGTTTTAGTTTCCAGCTAAATGTCTTAGATGTGGCTCTAGGGAAACCAGCGGGATAGCTGTGTAAGCGTGTGTGTGTGTGTGTGTGTGTGTGTGTGTGTGTGTGTGTGTGAGAGAGAGAGAGAGGGAGAGGCTGAGTCTATGACCGCTGGTGGGTACTGTTTAGATTCTTGCCTTAACAGCACGAGGAGAGATCCCTGGTCCCACATCTGTAGTTTGACTTTAGGGATTTGGGGAAGATTTTCCTCCCTTTTCACTTCCAACCTCCCAACTCAATTAAATGATACAGGAATGGGCAGATAGGCTAATCCATTAATAAAATCCAACTCAAGAAATAGGTTATTCAAATGCTGCTCTGTGGGATTTTACTCTCTGGTGACCTGTGAATTATCTAGAATAAATTTCCCAACCATTCATCTGTGGATTTTTTTCCAAGGTGGGTTAAAAGGGAAGGCCAGAGAGGAACGGGTACCTTTGAGCAGAGTTGACTCTTGAGCTGGATTTCCAAGTTGWGGCTTGGAAACTTGCTGATGTCCCCGCCTGGGGGCTGGGGCACTGAGGTCAGTGATGGGGAACAGGGTGGGGAGCTGTCACCCAATCTCTAAACCAGGGTCCTTAACTCAGCCAGTCTGCGCATCTCTGGAAGGGCCTTGAAGGGTGTGTGCAGGGGGACATGCCTCTGTGGCTCCATCAGACTCTCAAAAGGACCCAAAGACCCCAGAAAGGCAAAACCTAGGGCCTGGCTGCTGGTTTTCAGGAATGAAGGGTGGGGTATTTCTCGGGTGCTGTGTTTGGGGTGGGTGGGGGGACTCTGTGGGGACATGTGGTGTCATCGGCCGGGTCAGTTCCTCTCCTGTTGCTGGCACCCCTCATGACCATCTGCTCTGGGGGCTGAGGTGGCTTGAGGTCCTGTGCACTGGGACCTCAAGGCGCTGAGCCAGGGCCTGGACCCAGCAGGGCCTTCCCCCCTCTCTGGGGTGATTCTTCTGGGCCACAGGAAGGAAGGCAGCTCTGGGCTGGAGAGAGGGACGGCTCTTGGAGGAGCC